ACAATTGTTAACCCTAGAGACATGCAAATTAAAACCAGAATAAGATACCATTACACACTCACTAGAATGACTAAAGTTAAAAGACTGATATAGCAGGTGTCCGGGGACATGGAGCCACTGGAGATCCCAGATATTGCCTGAGGGGATGAAAAATGGTGCAGCCACTAAGAAAACAGTATGGTAGTAACTTGTAAAACTAAACATATCCTTAGCATACAATCCAGCAATCCAGTCCTAGTTATTTAGGCAAGAGAAATGAACACTTATGTTCACACACAGACTTGTATGTAAATGGTCTTAGTAGTGTTATTCATAAATAACAAAAAAAAACCAGCATGAAAGTAACTCAAATGTCCATCAACTAGTGAATGAATAAACAAATTGTACAACAGAATACTCCTCAGCCATAAAAAGGAATGACATATTAATATATGTAGCAATGTTGGTGAATCTCAAAAACATTATAAAAAAAGAATTAAACACAAAAAGTTATGTACTGTATGATTCCACTAATATGAAACTCTAGATGAATCAAAATTATGATGAACAGAAACCAGATCAGTGGTTGCCTGGGGCTGGGTTGGGGGAGGAGATGGAGATGAGCAGGTGAGATGTGTAAGTGCAGGAATGTTCTACATCTTGATTGTGGTGGTGGTAACAATTGTATAGAAGCCTGCACACTTAAAATGGGTGAATTTTATTGTATGTCAATAATAATCAAATTTAAATTTTAAGTAAAAAAACCCCTCCATAAACCTATGGGCAAACTTAAAAAGAATGTCTTGAAGGTGGACAGACACACAATAGAACAAAAATAGGAATGATAGAAGACGTCTTTACTCTGTAATCTAGAAATCAGTAGAGTAAAATCTTTAAAGTACTAAAAGAAAAAAAAAAAAAAAACACGACCCAGAATTCTAAGGTCAGTGGAACTACCTTTCAAACGTGAAGGTGCAATAAAGACTTTCAGACAAACAAAAGGTGAGAGAATTCATTGCCAGGTCACCTGTGGAAATAGTAAAGGAAGGTGTTCAGACAGGAGGAGCATGACACCAGATGGAAATGTTGGTCTTTACAAGGAACAAAGAAGATTAAAAATGGTAAAAAAGGAATGTAAACAAAAGTATCCATTAGAAGAACTACAACCAGACCCCCAAGCTTCCAGGTAGCTAAAAGGGTCTGTCTCTGCACCGAGCTTGTGCATGGTGGATGGAGACCGGTGGCAGAACCACAGACACTTGGCACAACTCCGGGGCGTGACTTCGCACTGGTTACTGGGCGCCAACGCTCAGTTCAATCCTCGCCGCCCCGGGAGTGAGGGAGGCTGGCACATACTGTCCCTGCTTTATAGGAACAGAAACGGAGTCTCAGAGAAAACGAGTGACTGTCCTGGCGCGGGAAGCCATGTAACAGACAGGACTGGGCATTTTCTATCCCGTGCGAGCTTAGTCCAGTCTCCTGGGAGTCTGTGAAACAGGCCACACAGATCTTGGAGGCTGTGTCGCCGTTAAGCATTCCTCGGCGGTCACCTCTAACCCGGGGCGAGCACCCACTTCCCGGGACGGTTGGGAGGGTCCAGGGAGAGGGCGCCGTCGCTGCAGACAGGGGCGAGCGGGCTTCCGCGCGCAGCGGGGCAGGGGCCGTCGCCCGGTGGCGTCCGTTGCTAAGGCCGCGCTGCCCTGGCGACCAAGTGCCGCGGCTCCGCGCACGCGCAGTGGCGGACTCCGGTGCACTGTGGGATGGAAACCAGAGCGGCGCGTCGG